TACACCGCTACCACCCCACGGGCCGCCGCCACTGCCGCAGTTACACTGTCTTAACGAGAGCTCAACAGTCCAGGGAGCGAGTGTGTCTGTGGACTTTTGTGTCGCGATTTCGGTCTCGGTTTGAGAACCGTTACAGCCCTACAGTACATACAATCACATTAATGCTTAAACAATGAGGCCATTTGATTACCTTGAGCTCGTGGGAACAGGCACCTTTTTTCACATTTTATAGACTAATCAATGACTCATATTTGAAGAAATCACCTTAAACTCAGGGGAAATGGCGGTTTTTATTCAAGAAATTCAGACCCCTCTCTGATTAAACAATCAATCTAATGATAATGAGGTTAATTGATTATGGAAATGGTCGTTAGCTGCAGTCCTAATTTACATATAGAAGAGCAGTACAGTATCGCTCACTGAGATCCAGTGGGAATTAACTTCAGGCCTTGTTGATTTCTATCTACACATTCATTCATCAGTTCATTTTTTGATCTACAAAAGAAAGAAATAGGGAAAAATACACTCTGGATAATAATAATTACCATAATTAAAGTGATGTGTTCAGGCCGGAGGTGATGTCTACAAATTGCTGTTTTTGTAAGACAATACTCCAAAACACAAAGATGCTCAGTTTACTCGGATAAAAGATGAGGAAAAAGGAGCAAATCCTTAAAATTTCCAAACCTGGGAGCATCAAGTGGTTGGCATTTCTGCTTGAAAATAAATTATTGATTATCGACGCGGTAGCCAATTAATTTTCTTGTGACAGACGTGATTAATCAGATTTATCTAACTCTGGTGAACAAAACTAGTCACAAAACACTTTCTCCGACCTCTGACCTCCAGCCTGTCGCCTCCCCTGTGTTTCAGAAAATGAGCAAGTCCAATATCTTGTTTTCGTTTTCTGTCTCAGTGCCGCTCAATTTCAAGTCGGCCTGTTTGATATTCAGCAGCAGGACGAAGATGTCACAGTGGCAGTGGAGTCTAGTAACAAGCTGTTACAGGGTGAGGAGTAGACAGGCATGATGTGACGATCTCTCCCCGCCTCAAAGTGATGTTGAGTAGTGAATATGTGTCCGAGGTTGCCAGAAAAAGCTGTCGTAGGAATTACACACTACATGCTTTCTGAACTACTGCTGCTCCTATGGTTAACCCGCAAGAGGAAGTGTTACGTCCTTACGTCTTTGTACAGATTATCATTGGGTGGAGTTCAGTGCATACAAAACATTAGGGGTTATTACATTGAATTTACTTTATCATTTACCTTCCTGCTGTCAGCTTTTAGCCACTTTAAAAAACATATTTTTGCACGATATTATAAGCTAAAAACGTGTCTTAGGAGATAGGTTTGAGAAAACTTCGAGTCTAGAGCTAAAACAATTAGTCGATCAGTCTATGAGCAGAAAATGAACCATATTAATAATCTCTTAAACGGTTTTTAAGGATAATGCTAACTGTTCTGTGTCCAGCTTCTCTAAAGTAACCGTTTGTTGTTTTTCTGTTTTATCTCAATATAAACTGAATATCTTCTTGAGATTGATACCAGAATTCTTTCCATTTGAGAAGCTGTAAACAGGGAATATTTGGGAGTTTTGCTTCACAACTTCACAACTATCAAAGTAGCGGCCAGTTCATGTATCAGTCATTTTATATTTGTATTATTTAAGTATTTTACAATGTCTCTATTCTGGAGCTATCTATGCCAGGAAGACGAGCAGCAAAGTGTTGGGAAAATACAAGATACAATACGGATAGTTGTTTTAACAGTGTTCAAGTGTTTGTAGGTGGGTTTTTCTTGGCAGTCATAGAAATGCAAGATGGATTTGGATGTCGGTGCAGATCCTGGGTGTGCGAGCACGAGGAGTACGTGCCTAAACCAGTTAGTGTGAGGACACAGGAAGGTGCAGGACATAAAAAGCAGTAGTCTGCGCCTACCACGGGTACGCTCGCGGAGTTTTCCGGGTGATCTCTGGCCTAGTCGGTCAAGAAAACGGAGGGCCTAGGGGGAGTGTGGGGGATGGGAGCGGGGAAGTTCAGGGTGAAGGGAGGATAGCTCCACCTCCAGGCAACCTTCCAAGTGTGGGGTATAATCTGACAGCACTCAGCAAGACACATGCAGGGCTAAGACCAGGCACCCTACCAAGACTGGGGCCTGTGGGGACATCCTGGTGAGAGCTAAGCCTCCAATGGGCCTGGAGCAGTGCCAGAAACCACACACACTCGCACACACTCGCACACAGACACACACACACACACGTTTGAATGCATCGTAAAGTCACACATGCGTGGTAAAGCTTGTGCAGTGTCTCATACACACCCACACAAACGCAGACGCACCGTGCATGCAAACAACAACACACACGGGTGGGGAGGGTGGGGGGATGAATGGGGGCAATAAGACAAAGACAGCATGAGGAAATACAAGACTTCAGTCTGAATGCAGGGTTTGGAGAGCCAGGTTTGTTATGTGTGCGAGTGTACCGGTGCGTCAACCTCTCATTCAGTCAGTAAACGCTGGATCTCCTGTGTATGAAATTAACCTAATCGAGTTAAACTGTCTGTGTTGCACTTTCCTGTTGACTAATTATGCTGTCATAGCGCGGTCCAACTGGAAATCGTCCTGAACGTTTGGATGACCTCACGATGCTGACTGACATCTCTCTTTGCTCTCTTCCCATTCTCCCCTGTCACTCTTTCTCTTCCTCCTTGCTGTTTCCTCCGCAGATTATGTTTATTTTGAGAACTCATCCAGTAACCCACTGCTGATCAGGAGGATAGAGGAGTTGAACAAGGTGAGTGTGTGTTTGTGTGTGTGTGTGTGAGAGAGAGAGAGGTTGAATTTGTACCCTTGAATGCAGCACAGATCTGACAGCTGTACATCTGATTTCATGCCGCCGTCACAACCCTACAAACCTCTTCTTTTCCAGTTTGTCGGAGATTGAACAGATCAGTTTTATTAGTGACCGTATATCTTAACTGCCTTATGTGTTCTTCACTGCACCTGTAAAGCATTAAAAAGCTACATTTGGTTGTTAATAAAGTTTTTGTAGAATACCTTTAAGTGTAAAATATATTATTGCCCCCTTTGGGTTCTCATAACTCTTAAGGCTGCTTTATACTATACAAGCTGGACTGTTCAATACTGTATTATACTCTTCTATATTGATGCCCAGGATCAGTATCAGAAACATCGGCAACTTCGTTGATAAACAATTAAATATTTTACGTAATTTTTCAACTAAAAGTACCAAATGTTCAAATGTTCCAGCTTCTGAAATGTGAGGATTTGCAGATTTTCTTTGTCATATATGACAATAAATGGGTTTAGGCTGTTGATCTTATGACATTTTAAAGGTTATTTTGTATTATTTTCTGACATTTTATAGGCCAAATGATTAATCGATTAAATGAAGACAATAATCGGCAGATAAATCAATAATGACAATAATCGTTAGTGGCAGCATTACAGATTTTTAACTTAGCCCAATTTTTATTTGACTGTTTCATGTTTTAAATTGTAAATCAAGCATTAATGATTGTTGATATGTTTAAAAATACATCATAATCTACCTTTACACTGATCTTTCCACTGAAAGCAGTAAACAGTATTGTATTAAGTATGATGATGGTGTTGCTGGATGATGTCTGCTAAATCCCAGCCTGCCAATCTTGTACCTTGTTCAGGAAAAGAAGCAGAAAAAGAGGCCTGTCTCTGTAGACTAGTTACAGGTGCCCGTTGTCTGTCCCCTGTCCCAGACCTGTGCTGGATAATATGGAGGCTGTTTAATGTGATTGACACAGAGCTCAGAGTGAGCCTTCTATTCTGCCTGTCACTGTCAGTCTCTCTGCTCCTCAGGGGATCTCTGGCTTTCTCCTCCATAAAGGTGGAGATAGACATCTATAAAGTATGGAACAGCGTAGGGAAAAATCTTGACAACCCACAGCAACTCAAAACTATTGAAAAACACAGAAAATGAAGAATTTGGTTGAACTAATTGACCTGAAAGCGTTTGTATATAATGCCAGTAGTCTTAAGTGTATGAGTGTTGTGTCCAGATCAATGTCACAAACTTAAGAATAAAAAAAAAAAAAAAAAACATGCATAAATTATTTTATTTAAAGGTTAAAAAATCTCAGGCTGAAACTAAAGATTATTTCATCGTCAATTACCCTTGATTATTTCCTTGATTACTCTTTTGGTGTGGAAGAAAGTAGTAAAAAAAAAAATGCACTGCACAATTTCCCAAAGCGAAAGAAAAGAGTATGAGGTTGCTGCTTTTGTCCGACACTTCAAAACTAAAGATATTAAGTTTTTATTATCGTTCGAGATGAAGAAAAGCAGAAAATCAATTAATTACTGTTTAATTGACTATGCGTTATACTTTTAGAGCTGATATAAATAAAGTGTGACACTAACAAAAACATCAAAATCAGCCACGGAAATTCTTGTAGAAAACTTATCAACTTTCAGGATGTTTGAACTGAACCGTGATGCGTCCCTGTGATCACACCACATATGCCTTTTTTTTTTTTTTTTTACCTTTTCATTGTTTAACATCCTTCTGTCATCTCCCTTCTTATATCTGTTTTGTTCTGTTATGTTCTGCTTTAATTGGGTTGCAGTTTTAACTGGCATGCACACATAAATATTTATGAATTTATAACAGATATACTGAAAGGAATTATGCTCTTAATTCTCCTTTTACTTTGTCAGTTTGATTTGTGGTTTTACTGAAATGTCACACAAAAAGGCGTGACATTAACTTACTTAAAATGTAATCAAAGCAGCCTAAGTAGTGCATGTTTAAATTGTACCTTGATGCATCATGGTAATAGATGGGCCTTTTCTTTGTTTACACTCACACTCATGCCATAATGCTGACTGGTCAGTTCCTCTTCTATTATCCTCCCTCATGATTTGCTCTACTTGGCCTGTAGTTAGGTTTACAGTTTTAACGGTTTAAGGAAATGCTTAAGAGAATATTACTTAATTGTACATATCTAGATTAACTGCCTGTACTTGCCTAATAAATGTGTCTAACAAATGAGCAAAAGTTGTGAACACAGTCAGCATTTCATTTAAAACTTCCTTTAGTAGTAGTTTATTAGTGTTTTACTTTGCAATCAGATGAGGAAATGATGTTTTTTTATTGTTACTGTAGTGTTTGTCTAACACAGAAATATGGGAAATTGGATTTTAATTATTTCACGATTGGGAAAAGTAGAGAGTCCTGCGGGGCTCAGTGTCTATACAATGTAAAGAAATATGACATGTTGACTGCTTATTCTCCATCTCTCCATCCATTTCCCCCTCACATTACACCTCGCTTGGAGGATTCATGAGAGAGTTCCTAATCCAATATGCTTGGCCTATAATAACATACAAATGTGATTGCCAAAGATATGTAACACTTTTACCGTATCACAGCTCATCAATATTGCAGTTTATACTACTATATTATTCCATTTTCTTTTATGTGTAGAGCGTAAAAAAAGAAGTAAAAAGCTACTAATCAATTTCTAAATTAGCCCTAGACCTCTGTTTTTTTTTTTTTTTTCTTCATGTCATGCAGCTCTTAATTTAAAAACAATGTAACATCACCATGCTGGTGTAGTATTACCAGGAAGAAACGAATACTAGGGCTGCACCGGCAATCCCCAAACACGCCAAACTGTCCTGATAACTGCAACACTTAATGTGATTTTTGGAGAATTGCTGTAGTCTCACACTGCGTTTTCATCCATCGTTAAGAACTAGCCTCATCTATGGGTCTTTCATCTGTGTGTGTGTGTGTGTGTTTGTGCGCGTGCATGTGTGGGGTGCTCTGTGTGCGGCACCACTTGTTGCCGTGGTAACGCCGATTGTCTCTGGTTTGCAGACAGCCAATGGGAACGTGGAGGCCAAAGTGGTGTGTTTTTACCGGCGCAGGGACATCTCCAGCACACTCATCGCCCTGGCAGACAAACATGCAAGTGAGTGACTGACCGTAACCCAGCCAGCAAACACCAGGCATCAAAAAGCACCACAACCGGGATTTAAAACTGTTCTTTTTGGCAACCCTCTGCAGTTGTTTTTCCACTGCAAAGTTGTAGTGCCTTCACATCCAGTCAAACTAAATTTCCCTGATATGGAAAATACTATTCTATTTGTTATTTGGCTTGTTTGCGCACCAGATTTTTATCAAGGGATGATACAAAATTGAATTCAGTTTGTGCACTGTTGCCAAGCTGAGAGAAGTGGTCCAGACTGCAGCCCCTCCTCTGATAGGCCTGATTGCGGATAGCATTCGATCTGTTGGGTGTATCAATATGACGACACCTGTGTGTAGGGGGGGTGTGTTCGTGTGTGTGTGTGTGTGTGTGCCTTCCCAGTTTAAGCGTGGGTGTGTAGCGTGTACTTGAATGTGGTGCTGTTCGACAGAGCTTGGAGCATATTTTGCAGTATCTTGAACAGCTGGCAGACTTTGAATGGGCTCTACCTAAAGCCGTATTCTGTGGCCTTTTTTAATGTTCTGGATACCAGCGTGTTTTTTTTATAAAGAAGGACATTCAAACAATGAATTCAAACATAAAGCTGGGAAGAAAAAAAGGGGAAATACAGAAGGACTGAGACAGTCAGTTTAAGATGGTTAGTGGTAAGAAATTCGGATGTAAGAAAGGTGCGCCGCTTAAAGGCCAGAGCTCACCTCCCCGCCGGTCCTGGTTGTCTGAATTCACAGAATAAAAAAGCAGAGGGATACAGGATTTATCCCCACTTCAGGCTATTTGCTTTTTTTGTTGTTTTTCATGACATGATATCACCTCTTTTGACACTGTAAAAAGTGTTTATTTTGACTTCACTGACTTCTCTGTTCTTATCATCTTACATTTATACGCTAACATGTTACAGTTTGTTGGTTTCCTAGATTGTAAACTCTGTCTGCAAGCCAACCTCTCCTTAGAGGAGGATATAGATTTTAAATAAATGTATTTGAATTGGATTTATAGAAAATAAAAACCACTATCATTTGGAAGAAGACCTGACTTTGGGCAACTGATAGTTACCCATCTTCAGTGTAATCTTAGTGGGAAAATACTACCACCCACTACCCACATGCTGGCAGATTTTGTTGCAGTCATTAGTCATCTTTACCAGCCACATTATAAATGTCTTTTTAATTATCTTGAAATGCTAAAAGGAAGAGTAGAACAAAGATGGCAACATCAACAAATGAATCCTTTTGGAGTCTCTTGTGATGCTCCATGATTTCCGCCCTTTGACAGAAACTCACATGGGACTAAAAATCAGGATTTTGTTATATATAGTATTTATTTTATAGTCTTTTGTGGATTTAGGCATAGGCCTCATAGAAGAAGGTGAGACATGATGCATCATACAGCACTTCTATCGTAACAACACTCACTTTGGGACAGTCTTTCATCTTTATGATGTTGCACTCAGTTGTATACACGCAAAGGGAGAGGATAGCTGTGTAGAAAATGTTAGAAAAGAGAAGTTTAAACCCTGCATTACTTTCTTATTCACACCTGACCTATGTCTCTGTGAAGTGGGAATGCTTGTCTGGACCGTCTGTTTCGGAAAGTTTCAAAAATTGTTTCCTCAATTTTGATGGTGATGAAGATGTATGGGTTGGAGATTTCAGACGCTGTTTGATAATCACTCACATTTCATTTGAAGTACGCTGAGCCGCACTGATACGATTCTGTGATTTCTACTTCGTTACACGGTGAAATAGATCAGAGGTGTAAGATTTAAAAAAAAAAAAGAAGCCAGGGCTGTGGTGTAAAATGATTAATATGGGAACACAGTGAACCTGAGAAGACTCTTAAATATAGTAGGATAGTGTCCATTTCAAAACTGGACTGAGATTTCAGTTTGTGGTCAAAGTATGTAGGCTTAAAAGACACTCTTGTTGGTGTCCAGTGCTGTCCGGCCTCCTGTTTGTCCATCAAGTAGACCCACTCTGACTTAAAGGGACACTTCACCCATTTGCATTAAGCTTTGTATCGTTAGAAACCCAGTCATATTTTTGAATGGTCGTGCACCATTCCCTCATTTTCCCCTGA